TTTTTTTTTTTTTTGATTGTATATTCTAACAGGCTGAATAATTTTAGGACAAGTGGAACTAGAAAATGTCCCATTTAAGAAGACAGCGTTGCAGAAGTTTGATATCCCTCTTCAGGTTAATTGTATAGTGGCTTTGTTGCAGTTATTCTTCTGAATATATGCCTAGTGTAGTCGTTTTCTTATTCCAAATAAATGAAGATGAGTGCCCTACACGTAAAATTACTTTGCTAGCTAGTGTGATGTTTAGGTTAAATCTGGGATTTTGGGGAAGTTGACACTCTCGATCCCTATAACGAGGATAAGAAGCGAACCATGGGTTTTGAAAATGAGCGATCTTCTAGTACTTTTAGAACCCGCTACTTGTAGCATGAATGACGTTGAAAATGTGGAATTGTATGAGCAAACGAAAAAAGATCAGCAATTGGAGGAGCTAGAGAAGTATCATAAGGTAGATCAGTTCATTTTACTTTATTTTTATCATAAAGTAATAGTTTGGTCGTTGTGTTATTATTACATTTTTCCATTCTTAATCAAAAAAAATTTTGCGTTTTTCTGCTTTTCGTGGTTTTCGTTTTAGGTATTAATGATGTTCACAGAGTTTGGTATTAGAAGGAATTTTTTTTAATTGGTTTTTAGAAGCGTTTGCTTTCCGTGTTCAACTTGCCTAATCATAAAGAAGTGGCTCACGATAATTGGTGGGGCGCTTCTTTATTCTCGAATGTCTTGAATAATATTCAGGTCTGGGAGTATTTTTTATGTTTTGCAACTTTCTTTTTTGATTTTTTATGTTTTTTCACTGTATTCTGTTTTATCTAGCTAGTTACTTCGTTTTAGATAATACTCACCAATGTTCACATTCGATATGAAGACGATATCACCGTGCCCAACAATATCCCGTTTTGCTGTGGTATTCGAATTCATAATGTTAGTGTACAAACGACGGATTTTCAGTGGGTTCGTTTATATTAGAAGCATTTCATTTCATTGGTTATATTTTGAGTTATTTTTCAAATGGTTTTTTATTTTTTCGTAGATTCCTGATATTCCTCGTGGAGTTGATTTTTTTTTTTTCATTTTATTTTGTAAAGGAAGAAAAATCACGAGATTTAGAAAGCTGGTTATGTTCAGCCGCGAGAGGGCTTGAATACTTTTAAAAAATTAGAGCTTCATGGGCTTTCCGTTTACTGGAACAGTAATGAACAAGTGGTGAAATCAGATATTTCCTTTAAAGAATTGCAGGTACGGAATTATCTACAAGATTACTATCCTGCTGTAATAATTTTTAATTGGTGTAAGTGTTTTCTGTGAACAACCTAAGAGACTTATTTAAAATTTGTTTCTTGGCTGCAGGACACATTAGCTCCTGAATCGGGAAAAGGAGACACTCATATTCTGCAGCCCTTTAGCGCTCGGTTATTCATGGAAAAAAACTCGGGTAAATTTCCTCTCAAAACAACTCCTCCGATCCCAAGATTTAAGGTTGGCGTTACGCACAGTATCTTTGCAAGTTCTTGCATTCACACTCATTTTTTTAAAAGTATTTTTAAACTAAAAAATTTATCTTATTTTGAGTACTTTCAGCGGTAATCTTTTCATCGTACTTTTTATACTGGTACTATTTTAGTTTGATTTCCGGCCACAAAAAGTTATCATAGAATTATCTGTTGAGCAAATCTATCAGATGCGCTTTCTAGCCGATGAGTGGTCTCGTCATGAGCGGTCGAGAGAACACAGAAAGTGGAGACCAAATACTACAGTTCTCCAATGGTAACTGTTATATAACTTGTGTTCTTATTCATTAATAGGTTAGTTTTTTGGGCAGAAGGTTGGGGCATTACTCATCCGTAGTGAAGGCTTAGATAGAGTTGTTTTTAAATTATGTTTAGTAACAATAAAGCTGGTTCGGTTCTAAATATTTGTTTTTTTGTCTCATTTACAAATTTTCGTTGAATTTTAAAATTTAATACTCTGTGCATTAGTAGAATTTGTTATGTATCTCGTGTTAATTTCTTGCTGCATAAACAAAAATCAGATGTTTTTTTCATTAAGCCCGAGAAGTTGGTGGTTGTTCGCCTATAATCGAATTCTTAATGAGACTCGACAAAAGAGTATGAGAAGAACTTGGGACTTTGTAACTACTCGAGTCAAGCTTTTAAACTCATATTGCCGGTCTTATAGAAGAAAGTTACTTTGTTATTTGCAGGAGGTGAGCACGTGCCTTTTTTTGAATAATTTTATGGAACCTCGTTACCTGAGTAACTTTTTTTGTATTAGGGAAACGTTCCACCAAATTTTAATGAAATAAATGCTTTATCTAAAACGTGTGACTTAGATATCATTTCACATGCTTGATATCTCTGTTACATCAACATAAAGTAAAAGAATTCATTGTTGAAATGGGTGGGTTGCACATATATTAACTAACTGCTCTATGTTGGAATTTTGAAACTTGTAATTTTTGTAGTTTTCATTGCATGCTTCATAATTGTAGGTAAAGAAGGAAAGTTTGAGATTAGATGGGAGTTCGGAAACATATGAACTTGAAAAACGGCCTTTGGACAGCAGTAATTTCGTTTCGGCTATTGGTGAACATGTGGACCATTCGGTTTTAGCAGAATCACCGCGTTTTGTCACTGAGCCCTACTCGCTGACAGAAGATTTAATTTTGATGAAGCAGATTGAAAGGGATAGTCAGTGGTCTTATAGCGTTTGTTTTTCCTTTATTTGTTTACTGAATGCTAGTTTTTAAACAGTCAGATGGTATTTTTTTAATTTTGGTTTCTTTCAAATTATTGACTTAATTTAACTTGATTTTGAGCTTTAATTGAACGTCTTAGTTCAGTTTGAGATTGTTTTTGTGTGCTCGTTTTCTAAAACAAGTTTCAAGCGATCTGAATTAATTTGAAAGGTGGCAATGTTTCAGGAGTTGCAGCTTTTCAGAGAAACTGTTTTCCGACAAATATTAACTGAGGGAGTTGCTGTGAAGCCGTTCACTGAAAGTACACATGTTGAAAATGGAATTTCTGACCAACGTAAATTAAGTGATTATTTTCTTATATGAAATTCTTTTTCTGCATTGAGTATAGAAATTGTCAGTTTACGGATATCTAATTTTATTGCATAATTATCACATACTAAATTCGCTTGATGTTAAAGATTTTTTTGTTACAACAATTCTAGTCTATGCTCCATTTTAAATTGTAAAGTTATTTTATTACGCGTTTTGACTTTCAGCTGAAGAAGGCGTTATCTTCGATTACAGTTCTTCCCCCGCTTCTGAAAGTCCTGATGAAAATGAGTCTAGATACTCTAATTCTGCCAGCGGTGGTGGGATATATGCCTGGATGCGGGGTTGGTGGACAAGTAAATCAGGTACGAGGGAATTCAGTTTTCAAATGCACTTATAATTTTTCTCATAACGTTTTTTTACAGAAGTTCAAGAAGAAGGTAATGTACATAAAGATGAAGAAAATATATTAGAACTTTCTGCGGAAGATAGAGCTTATTTAAAACAACTGGAAAAGCAGGTTAGTTATTTCCAGACTTGGCTTTCTTAAGATTTTTAATGTACGACGGTTCTGAGCGGTTGTCAACAATAAAAACATTACCTTCAGCTCGAAGATGAAATTATGGATGCACTTAGTGAGAGTTGGGACGACTTGACTGTTTTACGACGGGATACTTTGTTAGCAGAGATTGCGCTAAAGCTCGATCATATGACCATTCGGTTTATTGATAACAAAAATGTTTGAATTTTTTTCTCCAAATATTTCCACCGCCAGTATCATATACAGTAATTATAACTTGATTGTGTGGAACTTTTTGATGAAGCAGACTTTTTTGCAGCTTCAGACCAGTGGAGGCACTAAAGTTCTTGCGATGGATTTGAGACGTGTTAACGGATGCGTTCAGCTTAGTCTGAGAAAAAACAGTATTGCCATGTCTTTAACCGTAGGTGACATGACAGTTCAACGTTTGTATACGTCACTAAATGGACCGGTAGCGAATTATGCAGCTAGTCAATGTGCGTAGTCTTTCATTATTCGTATCATTTATTGATAGTTATTATTGCTTCGCTCCTTCTTCTGCAGCAGTGAGTAGATTTTGACGATTTTGATGTTAAAGAAACTTTGTTTAGCTACTCAATCGCAAGTAGATGATTCATTGATATTTGGTGAACGCAAGGGCGCAGATTTATCAAAAATATTATTTGCGATTGGCAGAGGGAACGGCAACTGTTTTGAAGGGTTATCATTTTCGAACAAAATGCAGGGGAAGATATTTTCGAAGCCATTGTTTCGGTGATAAACTTTATAACTCGCCGTTACGTAGCCTTCTTAGAGTTGAGATGACAGTTTGATGCTCTATTTAGTATGACTTACTGTCGACGCGCTCCCAAGCTGGTGGCAAAACACACACTGAATGCAGAATTTAGTGAGCTGACCGTCATGTATGATGAGGGTGCCTTCGATGACGTTACACACTTCTTGGGTTCAAGTGGTCCTTTGTTTGAAGGAGTTTGTTTTAAAGGCTTATTGTGTTTCTCCCTTTCTTTCTTTTTTGAACTTTTCAAAATCAATCCTTTTCAGAGCGAAGAGTCATCATCAGCTGCACTTCGGCCATCGGAGGTTTGCGTAACTCTGAGTGTTCCACAGGTAAAGATTAGTTCTAAAAATTGTTCTTGCTAATTTTTTCTCAGCTTTATTTCTTTTTTGAAAACAAAATAAAACTGAAATCTATTTGTTTATTTAGATTCAGTTTGAACTTCGCAGCAAGCGGAACAGTTTGTTGTTTCCTGGAAAAGATGCTGATATCGGGACGCCCTTTGCTCACGCTACGCTGAAATCATTAACAGTTGGTGCTGCAAAGGCTGAAGACTCGTTTACGAAGGTGATTTTTTGTGAAAATATGTTCTTTTTTTACGAGTGAAATATAGAGCTGAGAAATGATTCTTTACAAACTTTTTTGACTTGAATTTTTGACGATTTTTGTACTTTTTTCTGCTTTAGTCGTTGCGCGAGAGGTCCCTCATTGCAATAGCTGCCAAATTTGTTTCTCAAAAATGTCTATAGGTTCAGGTTCCTACTCACAGTAATCCTATATTTTGTTTGGTAGTGTGATGTTTCGGTTTCACCTAAATGGAATTTGAATTTTTAAAATCATATTTACCAAAGTATATGTTAATTTTAGGTCAATGTATCTTTTCGCGAATTTATTGTGAAAGATTTATTTGAAAGGACCGGTGGTACATTAATTCGTACAGTATCACCTTGTACGCTTTCGCAGAGAGTCAGTTTTCAGCACTTAAATTTTTATTAATTTTTGACTACTAGCTGTAGAATTTGTTATGCTTAATCGTTTTTTTCACTTTTTTTTCTTCCTTTATGGTTGTTTTTTTTAAAATTATTTTATTTCTATTTTTTAAAGTCATTTTATTCCTGTTTCTATTATTTCTACACTTTTTTAGAAATCTTTTTCATGTCCAGATTTCCACTCAGTTTTTGCAGCAACCGGAGCTATATCTCAATCAAACAGTAAGTTTCTATTTTGTCTAATTTGTTGTTCGGAATCGTTTTTTGGTTATCTTCTATTGTAACTTCTACATTTATTCAGTATATTTCTATTTTTTCACTATCATGGAAGAAAATATTGCTTGGTTGTTTTTTGACGCTTTTTTGCCTCCGGTATAAGTCGATTGCTAATTTTAGTTAGTTTTTTTTTAATTCTTAGGTTTGGAAACTCTCAACGAGAGCACTGCTCATCTTTTACCAGATACAGGTATCAATTCAGTCAAGGTAGCTGACTCACTATATAGTCCGACAAGTGTCTCTCGTCATATTATGGAGAGTGGTTATCCAAAAACAAGTGTACAAAATGACCAGTCTGCTGTTGAGATTGTTTTTTTGGATAAACCTTCGTCCTCAAATGAAAAGGTGTCTTATCTTTCTTGAATGGGACTTACCGGTACATACGGAAAAGATTATATGCTTATTATTTCTTATTTGTTTCTTGTAATTAAGGTGATTTGGAGAGTTACAGGCTCGTTGTATAATTAATGCTCGTTTGCTTGGCTTATCGATCGGAATGAACCGGCGTAGTTGGGTTATGCTACTTGATTTTTTTGGTCTTTTGGGGCGAGATGGCGGAAATACAGCAAGACAGTTGTCGTTAAATAATCGTCCGGAAAATGTGGGACAAAACATGTTTGATGGAACCCCTAGAAAAGGTTTAAAAGACCCGTTGATTTTTTTTTAATTTTTTAGGTAGTGTACCACAGTTTCTGTTTAGGAGAGTTAAGTTTGCATTTGAATGTATTGATGCCGTCGCTTCGGATTAATATGAATTACCCTTCAAACAAAACGGAGCTTGGCACTCTGACTGCACAGGATTTGAAATTAACAATACAGGTACAGTCGATTCGTTACTGTAAGAGTTAATCTGTATTAACAAAATATTTTTTTGATGCTTTTTAAAAATTTTAGAGGTAGTTAGTCATTTTTTAATAAATGCTTAAATGTTAAGTTCTTTTGAATCAGTTCTTAAAGAAACTTTAAGCCGTATTTGTGACGGTAGAAGCAAAAGATTTCAGATGGTCCTCGGGAATAATGAGGAGCCCCTTTCTCTTGATCTGTCATGTAAAACATTTGGATTGACAGATACAACTCATTTTTTTTCACGGGTTTATAGCGAACGACTTAGTGTATTGCCAGAACAAAAAGGCCGCAGGAAAAAAGCGATTTTCAGCCCTGCTAATGACTCGTCCTTCTCTAGTATTAGTTTGAATATCAAGAAGTTGGTCATTTGTGTTTTACATTTACATGAATTAAACATATTTTGCCTTTTTTGATTACCTTATAAGTCTAACAGTTTGACTTACTTTTACAAGGTTGGTTGAAGGCAGCCAATCACAGCTTACAAAAAGCTCTTTTGTTCTGAAGTGATAGGTTTTTGTCAAAGTAAGCGTTGTTCTTTTCCGAAACCTTGATTTAAAATAGGTCTCTCTCCGCTTTTACGAGTTTTTCCCAAGACTGTTTAATTTAAGATATTTTTTGCCTGATATGAAACTAGAGCGACCATGGGATGTGAAGATAGCGCTCCGTGTTTCCTCACATATGACGCTTGGTTATGTGCACACGCAGAGATACCTGAGCTCTTTTATAGAATTCTGGTTACAATTTTTTGAACTTCAGGATCAGATGGTC